TTCCTAGTCAAAAGATACATTCATTGTTCATTCACTATGTGTTAAAGAATGTGATAGGAATTAGTTTCTCATTTCACTGGCATTTTATGTTTTCACATCATATAATCTCTCTGTATCAAAATTTTCTGTACATCTTTTCCTTCTCTACTGGAGATTTTCCATCTTCAAAGACTTATAGTGTTTTGCTGATCTTTGTACTCTTATTTTAATATAAATATTATAGTAGAGATTGTAATCCCAGAGGCTTGAGAGGCTGAGGTGGGAGAATCACAAGTTCAAAGCCAGCCTCAGCAACTTGGTAAGGTCCTAAGCAACTCAGTGAGACCCTATCTCAAAATAAAAATTTAAAAAAGGGCGGGGGATGTGGCTCAGTGGTTAAGTGTCCCTGGATTCAATCCCTGGTACAAAACAAAACACTACAGCAGAGAATAAATAAGTGTTTACTGAAGCCAACCAAATATATCTTCTGGGCACTTATAGCCTGGAGTTACATGTTAGGACAGGAATTCTAAGGCCTGTGAATACCTCATCTGAAAATTCTAGTTAAAATTCTCTATAAACATTTTGATGTGATAACATTAGGAAAATACTGTGGTATTCACCTTAAATTTAGCTGACTCACATTTGAGGTTAATAAAGAACCAAGTGTAAACACCTATTTGGTCAACTGACTTGTTGACAAGTGTCCCATGATCATCAATCAATGGGAGAAACATCTTTTAACATCTTTTTAACATATGATGCAGGAACAACTGTATTGTCATATGCAAAATAACAAAGTTGGACTCTTACCTAACGCCATCTACAAAAATTAACTCAAAATGGATCAGGCCTGTTATAGTTTGGATCTGAAGTGTTCCCCCAAAACTTACACTTGGCTCCCAACACAACAACTTTCAGAGGAGAGGCTTTTGGGAAGTGATCAAATCATGAGGGTTCTGATCTCATCAGTGGATTAATTCATTAATAATTGGATGAATTATTGGGAAGTGGCAGAGGACAGGGCTAGTGGGACCTAGTTGGAGGAATAAGGTCACTACGGGCAACCCTGGAAGAGTATTTCTTGCACTAAACCCTTTTTTCCTCCAGTGATCAATATCCCCTGCCCCCTTCCTGGCTACCAGGAGCTGAACAGCTTTCCCACCATGTCCTTCTGACAAGATGCTCTATCTCACTTCAGGCCCAAAGCAATGGAGCCAGCCAATCATGGACTGATATTTCTGAAGGCCTAAGTCAAAATAAATCTCTCCTCCTATAAGTTGTTTTTTTCAGGTATTTGTCAAAGCGATGAAAAAGCTGACTAACAGACCTCAATATAAGAGCTAAAACTATAAAACTCTTAGAGGAAAACGCAGGTGTAAATCTTCATGACCTTGGATTTGGGACAGAGGATTCTTGTTAAGACACTGAAAGCATAAACACTAAAAGAAAAAATAGATGAATTTGACTTCATTAAATGTAAAAGATTTGTTTTAGAGGACCCCATTAATATCATGAAAAAAGCTGTGGGCACCTGTAATCAAAACACTCAGGGATGCTGAGGCAAGAGGATCAGTAGAGCCCAGGAGCTGAAGACCAGCCAAGGCAACATAGCAAGATGCCATCTTAAAAGGAGGAAAAAAACTTGAGATTGAGGGGGTATGTATCTCAGTGGAAGAGGACTTGCTTAGCATGTGTGAGGCCCTGGGTTCAATTCCCCAACACCAAAAAGCAAAAACAAACCAAACAAAATTTTTTTAAAAAACCTGAATGATGGATGGATATATACTACAGTACTACAAACCTTGAAACCATCATGCTAAGTGAAAAAAAGTCAGTCACAGGAAAACAAAACAAAACAATATAATCCCATTCCTACAAAATCCAGAACTGGATAATATAAAGAGACAAATTATTGGCTATTTAGGATTCGAAACAGGTGGGTTAGAGAAAGGGAAGAGAGATGACATCTAAACATCTTAAAGGGTACAGGGTTCTTTTTGAAGTGATAAAAATACTTTTCAGGTATCAAAAAAAATAAAATAAAATTTTGCCAAATTCTTTCTCTTCTCAATCCTTTCTCTGCCCTAAACCTAGCCTCTCGCCACTTTCTTGTCTTATAGTCACAATGGAAACATAAAGCAGACATTTGAAACATCTTTTATTTACTTAATACAATTTTATGTGACTTTCTAATTTTGAAAGAAAATTAGTTTTTTCCTTCTTAAAGGAATGAGCTTAAAATTGGGTTAAAAATATATACATAGGCATATAGATAAACTAATGTGTAGGCATTATAAACTGAACAATTATGGCATTGAAGCTGTGTATGATTTTCACTTACGTGGGTTTCAACTGATCCCCCACTCCAGATCAAATACTCTCAAATGAAAAAGTTGTCTATCTGAATGACATAATTTTAAAAACTCTGATTTTCTTTTCCCTTTAAAATTAAAAGACATGGGCTAGAATTGTGGCTCAGCGGTAGAACGCTCCCCTAGCACAGGTGGGACCCGGGTTCGATCCTCAGCACCACATAAAAATAGAGGCATTGTGTTGCATCCATCTACATCTAAAAAAATAAAATATTTTTAAAAAAATAAAATAAAATAAAAGACATTTGTTTTTAAGTATTACTTTTAATTTACAGCTTAGGCAATACACATTTTCTTAGGTAATAAGTATCAAAAGCAGATGATCTCCCTTGATATTACTTAGGGCCTTGCAATTTAGTGTTCTCTATGGCTCAGAAGGACCACAAGGACAGCTTGATAAAAATGTAGAATAATGGGCCCTATTGCAGCTTTACAGAATCATAATTTGCACTTCAACAATATCCCAAGGTAACTTACTTTAAAAAGTCTGAAAAGCTCTGATCTAGAACACTTATTAAGCATGGATATTCAAGTGAGGTGCAGGCATCTGCATTTTTAACATAAATACTGTGGCTTTTCCAATACAAAAAAGTTTTAGAAGCACTATTTAATAGAACGTGAAGTACTGAAAGAGGATGCCTTTAAAACAGTTTGGTAAACTAAGAAATACTACTATATATCCTTCCCCAAACTTTTTTTTTTTGTACTAGGGACTGAACCCAGGGGGGCTTAACCACGAAATCACATCCCCTGCCCTTTTTATTTTATATTTTGAGACAGGGTCTCACTAAGTTGCTGAGGCTGGCCTCAAAGTTGAAATCCTCTCACCTCAGCCTCCCAAGCCTCTGGGATTATAGGTGTGCACCACCACACCCAGTTCCCCAAACATTTTGAGAGAAAAAATATCTGAATTTACAAATCTCACAGCCATACTACTTTCTAAAAATTAATAACCTGAATGAATTTTTGAAATATGGAGTTTAAGATGAATAACTAACGTCAACTTTATGTACAATTTTCATGTGCATTAACCAAGATAAATTTAAGTTTTCCTAATCAAACTTTGTAGACTTTCACTGAAAAATGATCAAACATACTTTTTAAAAATTCTCATCCACGGGCTGGGGTTGTGGCTCAGTAGTAGAATGCTCGCCTAGCACATTCGAGGCCCTGGGTTCAATCCTCAGCACCATATAAAAATAAATAAATAAAATAAAGGTATGTGTCCAACTATAACTAAAAAATAAATATTGAAAAAAAGAAATTCCAATCCACGTGGCAAATATGATTCCTTTTACTTCACTCCAAACAAAGTTCCAAACAGGTCAACCAAGTTTGTTTGGATTCTTATGTAAAACCTTTCTATTCTCCAATGGGAATACAGGTCTTTGAACATGCCAATGTAGCTGTATAACATGCATAAAGAGCAAAAAAAAAAAAGATACTAAGCCTCCCAAATATATCCAGAAAAAAAAAAATTTCACTAATTCTTAGGGGATGCTAATTTGACAATCCAGTAAAAATCTAATAAATGCAAATATTCAAGGTTTTGTGAGGAACACAAAGATGATCAAGGTACTATCCCTAGTCCCAGGGAACCTAAAATCTGAGGGGAGGTAGGGTTTAGCTGGAACTTTGCACCAATTAGCAGAATGTGGTCAGTGCTGAAAATGGTTCCCGGAAGTTCCCAGTTTCAGGTAGCTAAAAATTCTGAAAGTAGATATTTTACAGTAATTTCCAACTTATTTGTTGTAGAGGTGAACAGATCAAGAAAGCACTTTAGCAGTAAGGATAGTCTGTGGTAAACAACCTTCCAGGAAATTTGCTTACATTTTAATAAACACAATTAAAATTAGGATTTTAGGTGTGTATGTTTTTAGTAAATGTAAAGTAATTAAAACATGAACTAGACATAGGCGGTCCAATACACATAAGTTCATAGAGGGTGTTTCCTTTGACAAAAACAGGAACACTCCGCTTCAGAGATCGCTGATCATGCGAGAAAAGAGGAAAAAGGAGTGGAGAACTGTGTCTATTTTTCCCCTGTTAGCTTAAAAGAAAAAAAAAAAAAAAAGCCGTTTCCTGAACTACTCCCTCCTTTCAACTTTAAAATTTTCTAAACACTATGATCTCTAAAGGGTCTTGGAACTAAAGACAAACAAAAATGGGCAAATGCATTTACCTACTCAATAGCCCAAACAGAAGCTTTTACCTCGAGGGGAACCAGCAGTCCACTAAGGACCACGACCTAAGAAAGTGCACCCAAATGCTCCTGGCTGACCCTCGGCCACTCTGAGCTCACTTCACTGCTCTTCCCTTTCAGGGCACACCCTCCCGTGGGAAGAGAGAAACCAAGCACTTCTTCAAAGGGGCTAGGGAAGCCCCAGGGGAGTGCCGAGCGGCATGCTGGCACCCGGGACAAGACCATCTCTGGCCTGAAAGAAGAGGTGCAACTGACACCAAGAAGGGCCGGTAGAATGGGGAAAGGGCGCTGCGATGCACGGTCCGGACGCTGCCAGCCCCTTAGAGAATTAGGTCGGTCCCCAAGGCCCGCAAGCTGCTCTCCTGAGGAGGCCTTACCGCCCAGGCCATTACCCAACCTACTGACAGGTACCTGAGGTGGGGTCCGTCACAGGTGTCACCCACCTGGTCTTGCTAGCCCTGGGGGTGGGAAGGGACAAGCTGGGTTAGGGTAACGGCATCTAAAAAGGAGAGACGCGGGGAGCAGCGCAGCACGGAACCCACGGGGATGCAGTCTGACCTCTAGCGTGGAGACAGTGCTGGTGAACAAGTCTTCTCCGTCCTCCAGTTCCTCAAAGTCGGTGGGTTTCCCGTCCCCCAGCGGAGGAGGCTCCCTCTCGGCCGCCATCTTCGCTCGCTCGGACGACTGCGCGAGCTGGGCCTCGCGGAACTGTCACGTGAGCACGCACAGCCAGGCTGGCGCGCCGACCCGCCGGCTCCCCGCCTCCCCGGCCCGCCTCCCACGGCCCCGCCCAGTGCGAGGCCCCGCCCCCGGCCTCGTGACGGTGACCTCCCCGAGCGCTCGGCGCTCAGCTCCGCCCCTTCGCGGCTTCAGCCCCCGCCTCCGTGTCTGGGTCATTGCCTGCTTCTCGCCGTTTACTTGGTGACTTGTGGAAGAATTCTGGACTCTTATTACCGCAGCACCTTCTTAGCAGGGCTAGGCCAAATGATTCCTGTGAACCATTTTTGTGGCTTTCCTTTAGGAAGTAGAAAAGGTCGAGGAACCACTCTTTAGGCTTGGAGTGTGTGACTGAGGAAGCAAGGCACATACTCTCAATTTTGTTTGGACCGGTACAAAAGAACCTTCTGAAGTGATGGAAATGCTCTACATCTGGCTGTCCAAGACGGTAGCCACTGGCCCACGTGTGACCACAAAACACTTGAAATGTGCTGTGTGAAAAACTTGAGTTTTAATTTTATCTCATTTTAATTAATTTAAATAACCCCATATGAAAGTGGCTATTAGTGCAGCTCTTGGTTACAAAAAGCCATTGAATAATTTGTCATCTGTAGTTTATTGCAATTTCATCATGAACCTTACAATATTGTTTCCGCTACAGGGTTAGAAAGTATGAAGGGTAGAGTGGTAGCTTAGTGGTAAAGCATTTGCCTGGCATGATCCCTAGCACCACCACCAAAAAAAAAAAAAAAAAGTGGGAAAATCAGATGATTGGTAAGAAACTCATATTCACACTTCCTGGCTTGTTCTCCACCAGTTGCGCACAGTCTGGAGTATGTCACAGTTTAGAAACTAATTTCCTAATAAGTTCAAAGCCTGATTTGAGATGGCTCCTCTTGGCATCCTTCATTTTTACTTGTACTTTTAGGTATTGCTTTCTACTTTCTGTCTTATGCTATAGTCATTTGTATTCCAGCATGTCTTTCTTAGTGGTATCTAAACTACTTGAAATATTAGTTCTACTGCTTATAAAAGAGACCCACATTAAACTTGACTTGAAAAAGGTACATGTTTACTTATTCCTTCTGAGAACTGGGGTTGGTATGAAAGCTCCAAGGATATAAGCTTTTAATGCTCTGCCCTCCATAAGAAGCATCTCTTCCTAATTGTTCAAGTTGTCTTACCACCACAATTTCACCACATTCTAACTGGCAAAAATGTGAAAGGAAAACAGAATGACATTGCTTTCCCTTTAAGAGCACTGAACAGAAATTTTACACACCTCTCTGTCTATATCTAATTGACTAATTTGTTAGTTACACGATCATCCCTAGCTACAAGAGAGACTAGGTATGTTAGCTTTGCACACTATAACCAAAATACCCAATAAGAACAATTTAGAGGAGGAAAAGTTTATTTAGGGCTCATGATTTCAGGGTTTTCAGTTCATGATTTGGCCAACTTTGATGATGCTCTGGGCCTGAAGTAAGGTGGAACTTTGTGGTGTGTGAAGGAAAGCTGCTCAGCTCATGGCAGCAGGGAACCAGAAAGAGAGTGTGTGAAGATCCAGGGACATGATATAATCCCCAAGGGCATGCCCCTAGTGACCTGCTCTCTCCAGCTGCACTCAACTTGACTACAGTGACCACCTAATAGTCCATTAAAATTATAAACCCAAAAAGTGGATTAATCTACTGATAAGGTTGTAGCTCTCATAATTATGTACTCATTTTACCTCAAAACATTCATTTACTGCCTAACACATGGGCTTTTTTGTGGATACATCATATCTAAACCATAAATCTAGGATGTGTAATTATTATTTTCCTCCTTAAAAAAAACAGGGGTTCACTTAGCCTGAGAGAATGATGAACTATGTAGAGAAACAAAAATCCCTGCTATAGTAGCCTTTCACTATTTTCATTGTAGTATACCTGTATTGCCTTCTAGGTAATTACCTTTCTCCCACCCTTAGCTGTAAGTCTGCAACTCAAGGTTGTAATACATGAATTGGGCTTAAATCAAGTCACAGCTGCTCCCTGAGCGCTCATGATTGGTAGAAGAATCAGTTACATTTTCCACAAATTTTCTGCAGTTGGGTAGTGGTTCTTTCCCCACTCAGCCTAAATTCTATTCTAGTCCCTATTCTTTCAGAATTATAAGAATTGTCTTGCTATTTTTCTCAACTCATCTTCTTTCTTTGTCCCTTGCTTTTCTGTTTCATCTTCTCTGAAATCCCAAATTTAGCCATCAGCTTCTCTAATCCTATATTCCAATTGCTAGAACCTTTGGCAAAGTAAACCCAACCTAAGATTGACGATCCTGTAGGTCAATGATCTTCAACCCCAACTCCACACTGCATACATATCATTATGTTTTCTCTATAATGGCTTCAACTGTTCTTTCCAGCAGAAGTTCTAAAAATTCATTTTCTCTTCAAGTAACCTACCATCTTTTTCTCCTCATTTTCATCAAATATCTTAGCCTCCTCACTTAATAACAAAATAAAATCTAATGAATGGGTTCTTCAACTTTAATTATGAAGCAAATTGTCTTTTCTCTGTTTTCCCATTGGTTGCTTTTCATTGTATGTTTTTCTAACACCTATCACATCATACTGTGATCAGAGATGCTCTTCTATCACCTCTAATAGAATGGAGGATCATTGATCTCAGAGACCATTTCTTAGTTGGCATTGGATCCTTAGTAGCCCTGTATTAGTTCCCCTAATAAATAAATTGTCCAAAAACTTAGCAGCTTAAGCCATAAGTATTTAATTTATCTTGATATCTGTTGGTTAGGATTCTAGTTGCAACTTAGCTGGTACCTTTGATTCAGGGTTTCTCATAAGACTGTGATCAAGTTATTAACTAGGACTGTGGTCATTTCAACACTTGGAGAGAAGTTGATCCCAAGATCCCTCACATGGCTGGTGGCAGGCCTCAAGTCCTTGCTGGCTGTTTGCTGGAAACCTGAGTTTCTTGCCACACCAGACTTTCCATGAAAATTCTCATATAACATGTCAACTTGCTTCCCTTAGAATGAGAATCTAAGACAGATGAATACTATAAGATAGGTATAAAAAGAAAGTAAGAGAGCGTGAGCAAGATAAAAGTCAGTCTTTTGTAACCTAATCTTAAAAGTGACATCAAAATCTGGGGCTGGGGTTATGGCTCAGCGGTAGAGCGCTCACCTAGCATGAGCGAGGCCCTGGGTTTGATCCTCAGCACCACATAAAAATAAATTAATTAATTAACGATATTGTATCCAACTACAACTAAAAAATAAATATTAAAAAATTTTTTTTAAAAAAAGTGACATCAAAATCACTGTACTCCATTAATTGGAAGTACACACTTAGAGGGTGAAATAAGGTTGTCAATGACAGGAGGCAGGAATATAGGGGGCCATTTTAGAGGTCACCATAATGTTTAGCACTCAACAAAATAGATACTTTATTACTATCTCTAATGAATCAAAGAAAGAATGAAGCTTCAAGAGAGGGCTGACAGGAAGTTACAGATTTAGTTGTAAAAGGCACTGGTACATTAGAAGGCTCAGGTAGTCTAGGAAGCACAGTCCTAAAGTTCATTTAAGAAGCAAGCAAAGGAAGAGTTACCATAAAGAAAACTGAAAAGGAGCAGAGATGTAAGAAACAATCTAAGAGACAGGGCTACAAAGAAAGTAAAAAGACAAAGAAGAGACCATTTGTAGTATCAAATACCTTAAATAAATAAGATAATAACTGAAGAGGGTGAATGGTTAATGGATTTTTTAAAAATGATGAGGTTGTTAATTTTATGTGTCACTTTGTCTGAGCTATGGTGCCTAGATATTTGATCAGATATTATTCTAAATGTTTTTGAAGGGTTTTTTTGGGGGGGGGGGGGGGAAGGTGAGATTAACATTTAAATTGGTTTTTGAGTAACGCAGTTTACTCTCCAAAATGTGGGTAAACCTCATCTAATTAGTTGAAGGTCATAATGGAACAAAGATTAACCTCCCTTGAACAAGAAGGAAATCTGCCAGCAGATTGACTTTGGACTCCAACTTTAACTCTTCTCTGTTTCACTGCCTACCTACCAACCTACCTGTGTTAGTTAGCTTTCCATTGCTATGATAAAATACCTGAGAAAAACAACATAAAAAGCACTTTTTAAAGCCTTTTACATGGCTATACCTGGGATCAGAATAGGAAGTGAAGATATTAATTGGGGGTATTGATGCAATTAGTTTACCAGAAAGTGCATCTATACATAAACTTGTTTATATGTATAGGTACAGGAAGTGGAAAAAGTCCACATCAGAGAGCAATATTGTTTTCCCTACAAAGGAAGAAAGGTTAATTAATTGCTAAAAAAAAAAAAAAAATAGAGGTCAGTGTCAGCATACACAACATGAGGAATTTAAAGAATATTTTCAGCTGAGTATGGTGGTACACACCTGTAAACACAGCTACTCAGAAGCTGAGGCAGGAGGATCATGACTTAGAGGGTAGCCTATACAATTTAGGAAGACGCTATCTCAAATAAAAAAATTAAAAGAGAGTTATGGACATAGCTCAGTGGTAGAATGCTTTCCTAGCATATATAAAGCTCTGGGTTTAATTCTCAATACTAAAAAGAAAAAAAATGTTTCTATGGGACATAGGATTTTGGAAGGCAGAATAAAGAGTAAAAAATAAAAGTTAGCTATGGATAGAATGGTATATAGGCTGTTAGAGGAACAGGACAGGGAGGGAGACCTGGAAGAGGTCTTTTGTTTTAACATAGCACCACAGGTCATGTTAACAAACAAGACAATTCTTTGTGATCTTTGCAATTATAATGGGGGAA